CGTCCGCTTCATTTTTCTGATTTGCAATAAAATAAAATTCAGATAAACTGCAAAATGCGCTTATTTTTCCCTGAACAGTTGAAAACAGTCATCTCCTTATTACGTGTTAAAGTCGTTCCATATTTCAATGCAGTAGTATCATTAAAAGTTCAAAATTCATTGTTTAAATTTTGAACCAGCCTGGTGTGTTGACCTCATGGCTCCTATCGTACCATTTTGGGCCATAATAGGATGACTAGGCCTGTTTTTATTTTTATTTTGTCCGCCCGCCCGCTCCATTATTTTTGTAGACAAATCCGTTAACCAAGAAATTAAATTGGTGTGGCCTTAACGCAACACGTGCACCTAAGCAAGAAATACATCTGTTTCCAATGATGCCAAAGTAGTAAGTCGTAAATAAAATTTAAGTTGAAGGATTTAAAAAATATATATATCAATGTCGTTTTATTGCGCTAAAACGCTGCTATAAAGTGACTTACCTCTGACGTCATTTCCGCAATGTAGCTAGTGTCGTCGTATCCATTATCGGTGAATTTCTTTAAATATCTAATCTGAAATGATAACAATTATTCAATTCATATTTTTCTGCCTCTTTCTCAGCATCACAGGGCATGTGGAAGTACAACATAAGTGCCGAATCTGTTAGTCATAATTTGAAGCACCAGGCTGAGCCTTACCGTCAGATATTCGTCCCCATTGAATACTACTTCCTGCAACCAATTCTGAATCTTTATTCCCGGGTCCACCATTTGGGTATTTTTTCTTCTGCGTATGGCACCATCTATTAAGAGAATTAAAAACAAGTAAACCATTCAGGAGCGATATATATATAAATATATGCATATATATATATATATATTTACTCTTCAGCAGAAAGTTAAGTCGGGCAAAGCATTGTGTTGTGTTAACGAGTATGAAATAAATAAACCAGGTCCATGTGTTGGTTCACCATTTCGGGTATCAGCGGCTTTCTGGGCCCTGCCGTCCTCTGTGTCAGCATTGGCTCCTCCTATAGATTCTTTAATGTTTTAAGAAGAAAGTTTATTGCAGATACATGCCCGAGGGCTAATTGCAGTTACTAACAACATAGGAAAGAAAATATAATGGTGTGTGAGACTATATCTACGTCTAGCGTTATACTATATTCTACAACAAACATTGTGCTAGTTTTACTGGGTTTAACTTCTTCTTTTTAAGCAAAGGAAGACTTTGAAGATTTACCCACTGCGTCTATAATATGTGGGTTATAAGTTTTGTAGTAAAATTGTTTTTTCGTGGTGGGGAATGGTGGGGAAGTAAGGGAGCATTTTGGACACGGTGGTAAATTATTGTTTTCTGATGTTGTCTTAAAATAGACAATTAGAGATAAAATGAATTAAGAAAAAACAAATCATTCATGAGCGATATATATTCACTAAAACTTCACTAAAAAGTGATCATGAAGTCCTATACAATATTATGCTGTGTTATGTTATGTTATGTTATGTTATTATGAAACAAACTTCAGGGTCTATAATCATTCATGTAACAATCATTCGTGTACCTACCTTCTTGACCAGGATCCTTCTCCTCTTTAATGGTTAGTAAAGGACTGTTTTCAGCACGTCCATGTGTTGCTTCACCATTTCTGCCAGCAGCGACATTCTGGGCCCTGCCGTCCTCCGTGTCAAAACTGGCTCCTCCTCCAGATTCTTGAACGTTTCTGAAAATGAAAGGTGCCAGGCATTACCCAGTTCAAACTAAACCTTCTCCGATGCTGCCTTACATTGTAACCAATACGTAGTTGGTGCCTAAATGCTACTTCAGCAGGGAGTATGTTACGTACAGACACAGCCTACAGTTGCTTGCAAAGGTAGCAGCCCTTTTACCCTTGCGCAACCTCTTGCTTGGGAAACGTTCACACCATTGTGTTTCATCTATTTCAAAATCCGAGTCTTGAGGCTTGAGCAATATTTCCATTCTTCTTCATTCAACATGCTAAGACACATTTTGGGGACGTGAGTTTCCATTGACATCGAGGTTAGCATCTGAATTTTCGATATCTTGACCAATACAAGGATCCTAGAAAGGTTATAGTCAACCTATAACCTCTTTGCTTCACCCGATCCTTTCTTTTGATCTTTTGATATGTTGCTAGTTGCACGTGTGTACTTAACACAGAGGAGGTTCAATAGGTTCAGAAATGGGGAAAATAACCTAATCGTCTCCTCTGAGAAATGTATATCAGAATTTCGAAAAACAAAAATAAAAACATTTTCTTACCCGAGCACATTTCTGAACTTCTGTCCAATGGTGTCAAACAGGTTTTTGTTACTCTCCTTGACCCCATCAGTTGTTTTTCCCTCTCGAGTTCCTGTGGCAAAGAAAGTCAAAACGTCTAAAACCCTCAAGTACATAAGATGGCAGCGACTAATTTGGTCTTTATCACTACGTTAAACCATTAAAACAACAATTTGATGACATTTGATTATCATGGTAGACTGGTTGGCCAGTGTGACAACTGTCAGAATCCACGTTAATGTTTTAACTATCTATTGTTGTTGTATTTACGATATTGAAACGTGTGTTTTCATTTCGTGGGGACACAACTTGTTTTGTCAATTGCAACATACAGATAGAAAATCCAAATAAACAACTAACACATTCTCACCCCAGGACTTGTCGGTGATGTTACAGATACCGTAGATGTTTAGGAAGATGAAAGTTGTGGGAAGGGCGAAGAAGTATAGAACCCCATGAAGAAGACAGTAGGATTCACGAAAGTGAATCAGTCCTGCCACCAGAAACATCCCGATCGTGGCAATGAAGTAATACGTGTCCAGCTGAGTCAAAACTGCAGGATGAGAACAGTTTATTCTACCCAAACTTTCATACATATACAAATGAAAAGAAAACTACTCTCCTCTTAACATCCGAAAACCCACAAATTATTTAAAAAATGGGATCCTTTGTCTTCCTCTGTCTTAAAAAAAGTCCAACCCAGTAGTATTTACTTGTAGTTTCTTAGTAGTTATCAGTAGTTCTATGTGTACTAATTGTCTGTTTTTATATAATATGCATATGTTTCTTCAGCTTCTGCAATTAGCTCTCGGGCACGAATTTGCAATAAAACAATATTATAAAAGTGTGCTTATTTTGGTGAGAAATATTTTCATTTTAACCAACCCTAGCACTGATTTAAAACGTCAAAGTAGCGAAAGTCGCGCGCTAGGTCGGATGTGGACAGTCCAGTCTTTGGCGTACTGCGGTCTTAGGTTTGCAGCACAAAGGGCCTCTTGTGGGCAGCCGATAAGTGCAATTTGTAACTGCCATAAAATGGGATAGTGTGTTTAGATGTCGTTTAGAATTTTGTAATGATGAGCAAGTGTAATGTAGGGTAAAAATGTTCTCAACATAGCATGATCAATATCAATTGAATTGTCGGATCATTGGGAACGCGGCCTTGTATGACCCTCATTGATTGATTTTTCTCAATGTATCGAAAAAAACTAATTATGAGACCTTAGTAAGAAAAAAACACCGATTTGTACGAACATAATTTATATATTCAAAGACGTTGTCAAGATTAAGCCATATTTACCTTCGACTGGGCTGACCCCCTCAGATGAGCCAGTAATAGTCCTGATGGTTATCACAATCTTCTCCACCAAGGCTACCGTAGTCATGATCATGACGACTCCAAACATGGCACCCAGGGCCTTGGCCCACTGCAGGTGAAACGATGGTGCAAGTAAAATAAACATACAATTATCCGTAACTTGATTATAGTGTCATTTTTTCAGCTCTCTTTCCCTCTATCTTACGTTAGGCCGTTAATCTGTTATGTAATAGTAGGTTAATTTGACAATGTCAATATAGTATTCAATGTATAATAAACGTATGGTGACTAGGCCATATTGCATAGCTTGTTAACGTTAGGCCGCAACATCTGTTATCTAATAGTATGTTAATCTGAGGGGTAACCGTCATTTTTAACTGTTATCTGTTCCTAATTGTTTTATTTTTTTGCTGTGAGGGCTAGCCTTCGGCTAGTTGGGCAGTCCGGGCTGTATATATCTGTTTATACTTACTTACTTACTTGTACTTGTATTTTAGGTATTTTAGATATATGGCGGTCATGTAAGCTAGCTTTGTTTCTGTCACTTGGTGTTTTTGTGGAGTTTCTGTACATGTTTATGTCTGTATAAGTTATTTTATGTGTGTCAGGTGTATATGTTAATTGACCACAGGAAGAATAGCTGCAATATGAATTGTTAAGCTAATTGTGGATCTAAATAAACTCAAACTCAATACCTGTTTATACCGTCTAATAAATCTAATCAAATGTTGAAGTTCCTTGACAATAATGTGGAATACGTACACTGGTGAAAATGCATCATTGCAACTACAACTGCTGCAAAGACAAATACCTTTAGCTGAGTTTCTTGCTTGCACTTCAGACAGACGTAGCCAAACATGAAAGTCAGAATCGACATGATGGCTATGGTTGCCTCCAAAGGAAAACTTCCGGACACGTAGAAGTCCAATCCTCCTGTAAAAGTTTGGCATGTATTTATATGAGAAAATATTCAGAAAATTGAAACTTGTGTTGCCTGCTACATTATCTAATCATATGTAATGAATTGAATTTGTCTGGTACATAGTTTATTTAGTTTTGGATTACCAATATTTTATCTCTCAGTAATCTCACATACATTTTGGAGCACATTGCTTCGTACAACTTGCGTGTGTAGAGTAGAGTAGAGTGACGTGAAGTAGGCTAGAGTAGAGTAGAGTAAAGTAGACTGGGGTGGAGTGGAGTGAAGTAGGCGTAGAGTAGAGTAGAGGTGAGGTGAGTAAAGCAGAGCAGAGCAGAGCAGAGTAGAGTAGAGTAGAGTAGAGTAGAGTAGAGTGGAGTGGAGTGGAGTGGAGTGGAGTGAAGTAGGCGTAGAGTAGAGTAGAGTAGAGTAGAGTAGAGTAGAGTAGAGTAAAGTAGAGTAGAATATAGTACGGTACAGTCGGGTAGAGTAGAGTAGAGTGTAGTAAAAAGAGTACAGTAGAGTAGAGTAGAGTCGGGTTGAGTAGAGTGAAGAAAATGTTAAACCCTACTTAATGACATGAAAATCATTGATGTTGACAGAAACTGTTAGCCAAAAAAACATTTTGTCCAGACACCTACCGGCCGCAATAAGAATTGCAGTTGCTGGTCCAATCAGGAAGGAGAGGAAGAGAAGGGTCTGGTACAGCAGGAACAGGTGGGATACATGAGGGTTCCTGACCACCTTACACCATTTCCTCATCAACTCGACCTGAGGATATAAAGAATAATTATAGCTTAAAAACAATTAGATTAATAATGCTTTAAAAAACGAAGTTGAAAAATTCTATATCTATTCTATATCTTCTTGTCCAGGAATAAATCAAAATTTAAACGGCTCTAGTTGTAAATATACTTACCTACGTATCACTAATAGATCTGGCCTTATTTAATAAATTTATGAAAACAGGCTTTTTTTATAAGATATGTGTTGATAAACGCAGAAAAATGAAGGCAGAACATATATCAGATGCGACAAAGTGCATGCCTTATGGTATCTATTCCACATGGTCATTAAGGTGGGCCATTACGTCCTCCATTGTTTACAAAAGAGCTTTCAGGCAATTATCTTTTATTTTGTGGGTTTAATTTCTTATAGTTATTTTGTCCATTTTATTTGCAATTAGCCTTCGGGAAGGAATTCCAAATGCATTAACAAATAGACTGTAGTAATGCCGAAAAAGGATGAAATTTATAGGAAGGCCCATAGGTACACTTAGTATTTTTTATTCCACTTTTATTTTCTATGGGTACTTTGTATTTTCTATGGGTACTTTGTATTTTCTATGGGTACTTTGTATTTTCTATGGGTACTTTGTATTTTCTATGGGTACTTTGTATTTTCTATGGGTACTTTGTATTTTCTATGAGTTACTTTTATTTTCTATGGGTACTTGTTTTTTTCTGTGTGTACTTTTATTTTCTATGGGTACTTTGTATTTTCTATGGGTTACTTTTATTTTCTATGGGTACTTGTTTTTTCTGTGTGTACTTTGTATTTTCTATGCGTACTTTGTATTTTCTATGGGTCACTTTTATTTTCTATGGGTACTTGTTTTTTTCTGTGTGTACTTCGCGAAGTTTTTTGGTGGCTGGCGAAGCGACATTCATTTTGCTTTGATGTGGATGCTCCCATTTTTATTATGGGCGGTATATTTCTGTTTACCATTCCAGGGAACTAAATTTATATTGAACCTATTAAAACATAATATACTTTACACTTTAAGAAAATTTTGTTTGTTTTTCATGCAATGTTTCACACGTTTATTAATTAGGAGTATCAAATAGTGATTATTACATCCTGGCATAGATTATGTTAATGTAGACACAGGACCATACTATTTTCGGGGGTGCTAGGACATATTGTTCAGACTTCCGTCAACATTTCCGTAGCGATATATGGTAAATCACTTCCTCGCCGGATGTAAATTACTCCTTTGTGTTCAACAAAGCCCGTAATCTAAAGCGAGGGTTCATTGCCAATGTTGGGAAAAAATTGCATTGCGGTTTGCTGCCCTCCTACCAACCGCGAACGTTCATCACATGCAGTTTACGTAGGAAATATGGACAATATGCCGTTTCAGTAAATAACCTGACATCTAAAATTGTTGAAATATTCACAGAAACTCTAGGTTGACCGTCTAATCGTGTGGTAAGCTACATGTGTGCTGTAGTGACATGAATTGGCACTTTTGTGGGGAGGGGGGCGTCCCAAAAAAGGTCAACGACCTCCATGGCTTACGGCCATGTTTCACGCTTTTGCACTTCATAAATGAACAATTTTAGATGTCAGGTTATTTACTTGAATACAATACTTGTATTTAACCTCATTGCTGAAACGGCATATTGTCCATATTTCCTACGTAAACTGCATGTGATGAACGTCCGCGGTTGGTAGGAGGGCAGCAAACCGCAATGCAATTTTTTCCCAACATTGGCAATGAACCCTCGCTTTAGATTACGGGCTTTGTTGAACACAAAGGAGTAATTTACATCCAGCGAGGAAGTGATTTACCATATATCGCTACGGAAATGTTGACGGAAGTCTGAACAATATGTCCTAGCACCCCCGAAAATAGTATGGTCCTGTGTCTACATTAACATAATCTATGCCAGGATGTAATAATCACCATTTGATACTCCTAATTAATAAACGTGTGGAACATTACATGCAAAACAAACAAAATTTTCTTAAAGTGTAAAGTATATTATGTTTTAATAGGTTCAAAATAAATTTAGTTCCCTGGAATGGTAAACAGAAATATACCGCCCATAATAAAAATGGGAGCATCCACATCAAAGCAAAATGAATGTCGCTTCGCCAGCCACCAAAAAACTTCGCGAAGTACACACAGAAAAAAACAAGTACCCATAGAAAATAAAAGTGACCCATAGAAAATACAAAGTACCCATAGAAAATAAAAGTAACCCATAGAAAATACAAAGTACCCATAGAAAATAAAAGTACGCACAGAAAAAAACAAGTACCCATAGAAAATAAAAGTAACCCATAGAAAATAAAAGTAACCCATAGAAAATACAAAGTACCCATAGAAAATACAAAGTACCCATAGAAAATACAAAGTACCCATAGAAAATACAAAGTACCCATAGAAAATACTAAGTACCCATAGAAAATACAAAGTACCCATAGAAAATACAAAGTACCCATAGAAAATAAAAGTGGAATAAAAAATACTAAGTGTACCTATGGGCCTTCGTAAATTTAACTCCAACTTTTGCAATAATGAGTTGAGACTACTTGCACGTATAGATTACTTTTGTTAAAGTTAGTTTACGTTAGTTACCTGGTTGGCGATGGTGGAAGGTCCCCACCGCCTGCGCTGGTTGAAAAAATCGTTGAAAGATACAGGAACAAAGGTGCTGTTCTCCGCAATAGAGGTGTATACCAGCCGGTAACCACGCTCAATCTAAACGAAAACAAACTTACTTTGTCTAGCAATTGTTTATGGGAATGCTCCAAATATCTCCAAATAGAGTAGTAAAACATGTTTAAGTACAAGAACTGTTTAAGTGTACATAAAGTCATAAACCAACATAAGATTATAACATAACATACAACATAACAACGCAACGGATCCCTTACTAAGTTACAGTAGAAAAAATTACATATTGATATCTGACTTCTATTTTGAATGTTACTGAATTTGTTCCTTGTTTTGTTAAAGACATTTTAGAATGTCAACCACTCAGCCGCTGACATAAGGCATGCGTCTAACCATGAGCGTACAGAGCCAGCGGTCCTCCCCCATGTCCTTCATGAGAAAGTCCTCGGCCTTCTCTGCCTTTGTTGCATAGGTCGAGACACACTTTCTAATGGCACTGCAACGGTACACACTAAAGCAGCCCGGGCAGCAGAGTACAGTTCCAAATGTACTGTTAGCGGCCTAGGAGACAACAGTCAGTAAAAGTTTAATTAGTGACAGCGTAACTAAGCTAATGAATACATAGCAGCAGTAACAAACCATCTAACTAGCCTGCCATTCATTCAATCAATCAATCAATGAACGAAATAACACGAACCGTATGCTCCTCTGGTTTTGGTAATATATACATGCCTTTTGAAACCAGTGCCCCACTGCATAGTCGAAAAGTTGTAACCAGAACATCGCCCCGTTGCCAAGACAGTGTGTCCTGCCGCAAACAGCGCCCACATCCGTGTCCCATTGTGCTCTGTCCAGCAGTTTATTGGCTGATTTTGGAGTGAACTTGACGTCAGCGTCAGTTGCTAGGATGTACGTGTCACGGTCAATGTCATCATCTAGAAAAAGATGAGCCAGATACTTTACAAATTACTGTACCTACGATTTTCATGTACATTTCTCAGACAGAAAGACCGCTCCACCAGTATGTTAGGCCATGTTGATTTGATTGAATATATGGATGGCATCCGCGTGCTAATGAATTTTCCATTTCCGAAAAAAAGGATATTTTAAATCGTAAGATGAGCATATGTATACCGTGAATGAACAAAAATGGATAAAAAACAATACTGTCGCAGAATGCCGAAATGCCCCACTCCAAAGTACAAAAAAATCGTTATTCTCCATGTCAATAAATATTACTCTGTGTGCTTAGTCATTTGTTCAACCTTCATAACCACATAGATTTCATAATGAAGGCAAGTTTTTGCAACTTTTTTTTCCCACGCTCGCATCAGTTTTGGGGTTCCCAGTAGACGTCTTCCATATGACCAAATCAACATGGCCTTATAT